ATACAAGTTACCAAAACTGGATGGCTTAAAAACCAATAGATTCACGTGCACTCTTGGAGGTCAGAGGTCTGAAATACCTGTGGGGGCGATGGGCAGGCCGAGGAGGAGGATGTGTTCGCTTAGCTCCTGCAGGGTGGCAGGAATCCACAGAGTCCCTGGACTTAGCTTGTGCCTCTGTCATCCAAATGAATTCTCCGTGTGTTTATCTCTGTGCCCAGATTTTCTTCTCATGAGAACATCAGTCATGGAATTCGTGTTTAGCCTAATTCGGTGGAACCCCATTTTAACATGATCACATCTATAAAAGCCCTATTTTTAAAGAAGGTTGCATCCATGGATCCCAAGTAGACATGAATTTTGGAGAAACTCCTCAACCTAGCATAACATGAAAATGTGTTTGCAAAGAGACAACAAAAGACCATGTGCTTTGAAATGATTTATAACATTTTATTTGATATTATCCAGCCAGCCAGATTTTATGAAAATGTGCATTTCTAAAAGTGCATCATCAAATATTTGTTCTAGATTTTATCTTTAGCATAGAAATAAGCCATAGTATTTTCCTTACAGATTTATTACTAGACTCATATAAATTTAGATTCATATAAAAGTATTTCCAAAAGAAGAGAGAAATGAACTTACATGATGCTATTTACTGATTATGAGAAGCAGAGAAATACAAAATATCATTAGGCAATTATAAAAATATCTGTATATATATTCTTTATTCCATTAGATTCAAATTTAACATAAACAGAAAAATAAAGAATAGCCAAATTGGTTTTGTGCATTTAAGATTTATTACCGATACTATATTTTCATTCTTGCATAATTGAGCACATGGCCTACGGTATAATTTGGGCTTTGTTCAAACATAAATTGCTGTAATCATGTAGGTTACTATTAAAAGCACACACAGCAGACCTGTGCACAGCAGAGCAGTGGCTTTACCCAAGGCTCCACAGTGATATCTTATTTTGTTAGGAACATAGTTTACATATTTAAAGAAGAATGTCATGTTGATTCCTTGGTGGGAGTTTGGACACCAGTCTGGGGCATCCATGGTGAACGGTGCAGAGCGACATGAATGTTAGGAACTACTTTTGTCTTGAGGATGTAGCACATATAAAAAGAAGCCCTTTCAGCTAAGGATTCTAATAAAGGTTTACAAACCTTTTTGTTTGTTTGTTTGTTTAGGCTTTCTTTTTCTGCCTTAGTAAATAACTATTTGGTTCTCCTCGTGTGTGTTTTATGGAGCTTTCTCCATTTGTGCTTCATGTGTGCTTCTTAGAAACGGTGTGAAAACCAAATGAAATTCTTAATTATGAAGCGCTTCCTGGGAACCATTTTCTTGTGTGTTAAAGTGTACTTTGCTCCGAAATACTCAATTTCCCTTACAATTAAAAATCAAGAACTGAGCACAGCATAGAGCAATTTAGAAATCGTCGCATTAATTGCCACAAAAAGTTTGATCTATTTCATAATGGACAACTGACCGTGAACATCCAATTAACTGCTACACAATTATTTAAAAACCATCCTCAGAAAAGAAATATTATATTTCATGACCATTAATTGAGTGATGCCAAGCACGATACATCAGGCTTTTTTAAAATTTAGAAATGATATATTTTAATTTAGAGTTATTTTAGAAATCACATACAATTTAATTTAGAAAGAGCTGAATGTAATGATCACAATTAACAAAGATCAGCATATGTAGGTGGCATCAAAGTTCACCGCAACTGTTTCACAAATCACCTTAACACCCAGGATTCACAGTTAAGGGTAAGCCTCTCTTTGGCTCATAAGGTGTTGTCCTGGAAACCATTCTGATGCAGTCGATGATAGGGCAGACGCTGAGACAGAGGGTGCAGCCTGTGCACGTGTCAGTGACGGTGGGCAGGTGGGTTTCTGTATCAAACTTGATAGCCTGCAAACAGAAACAAAGAGCATTGATGTCGCTTCCCTCAAAGGTCAAGATTTTCGATGTTTTCTTTACTACCATAGAGCACCACTTCCAGACACCCCCACCACCACCACTCCCCACCCCCACCCCCCAGTGCCACAGTGCAGCTATAGCAACAGTTGAGCGGCAGAGTGGAAAAAGGGAGGGAGGGAGGGAGAGAGAGAGAGAGACCTTTTGAATTAGAGACACAAAGTTTAAAACCCCTTAAAGGTAATTTTTCTTTGTTGTGTGAAGAAAATACTTCATCACATAGGAATTCCCTAGTTCTCTCTGTTCTGGGGAGAGCTCAGGTCTTCCCTGCATGTGGGTTTCAGAGGAAACACTAGGAAAAACATTAGTGTAAGAATGAGCTTTGATATGGGAGGTTTTCCACGTCCACTTCAGCCCTTGTCCCATCGTGCAGCGGGAGAAGCACAGGAGAAGTGAGACTTTGGATTCTGGCTCGGCCCAGACATCCTCAGCTGTGAGAGCCAGGGCAGGTCCCCCAGTGCTAGAGCTGCCCAAATGTTGTCACGAAAACAGAAAATAGCAATTCTTGATCTTTTCTTTTTTTTTTAACATGAAGCAAATTACAGTAAGTTCAAAAAATATCTAGTGTGAAATCCAACAGTAATCATTTTCTGAAGAAATTTTTCCTTAAGAAATAGTTTGAATAAATTGTTGACTGATAGAGATGCACAGTTCAAAAGCGGGAGTCGCCCCTGTGCTCTTTAAGAAAGCAATCACTCGGTTGGAGGAGTAAACGCCGCAGCTGTCACAGGATGCACTGGAAGCACTGGCTCACAGAGCCAGCCCCAGGTTGAGCAAAACAGGGTCTCAGTTTGCTGGTTGGACAGTGGTTTCCTCTTGCATGCTGATCTAAACCTGAAGCAAGAGTTCTGCTTAGAAACCTTATACTTTGTCAACCTGCAAAACCACTTTGCGTTCACTTCAAGCTGTTTAATCCTTTGCTTTTAAATGAGAAGATTCAAGAAGACTGTTGTAACCTTTTAATGAATAACCAAGATTTTCTTTCCTCATTATTAAATCACATCTACTAAGGTTAAAGAAAGACGATGGATTCTAAGGTGGGAGTCATAATTTCTAAGATTCAAACTATTAGAACCCTGCTGATACTAAGATTTTAGTTACAGGATGTCTTGACTTGTCTTTGATGACTTTATTAGAGGAGAGATGAGAGCAAGGTGTAAGACGATCATTTTCATGATAACTTAAGAGTCATTTTACACCTAGAAACACACTAGATGAATTAGATGAAAAATTGATTTCAAATTAATCCAGTAAAGATTATGAAAAATTACAATATTTTTTAATGCTCGGGAGCCTTGGTGGTGTAGTGGGTTACATGATGGGTGGCTAATCATAAGATGAGAAGTTCAAAACCACTGAAGATGGACAGTCTTTGAAACCCACGGTGGCAGCCCTCACTTCGATGGGGCTGCGGTAAGGTGGGCTCTCGGTGGCGGGGGTGTGTGAGAATAAACAGGTGCGAACCGAATGCACAGAATCTCCCCATAATCAACATGGGACCTTCCGGAAGTTGCCTACAAGGAGTAAATTCAACTTTCAGATGGGAAATTTTATTTCGTATTTAGAATACGCCATTGGCCATTTTGTAAATGAATCTTTTTGCCTTTCCTATACTTTGTTATAGTTTGACCAGTCCAATTAATAAAAACAACATTTTTCCATAGTTTGGGGCAATTTTAATGTGAAATTCTCTTTTGCTTTCTTCAGTTCCATATCAGGGAAAAACAAACAAATAAAACAGCTCTTAACTTTCACAATAAACTATGTATTTGAGGAAAACCTATGCTTAATGACATCACTAATGAGGCTCATATGATCATATTTATTTAAAAAAATTATTTAGAAATTCATTTAGTTCTAAAATTCAACCATTTCAAGGACACAGTCATGTCAAATAATAAAAACAGCCAGTTATAAATATAGAGGATATAACTGAGGAAGCAAATTAAAAATCCATCTCATGCTTTCAGAGGGAGAAATGCATAGAATGCTTTCAAGAGGAGAACCTGCCCTGAAGAGAACCAGGCCCCTATTTTGTCCTTGTTTTGTGAAGATTCTCATCAGCCAAGGAGTGCAGGAGCTGTAAGTCAAGGGTTCATGTCACAGCAATACAACCCATTGGGTTTTCTAGCTACCATGGAGCCTACATGCAAAACTGGTAGGGAGAAAGTGCTTCTTTGACCTATTTTCTTTTCTCTGGAGAAGAAACCCAACAAATATTCGAGGAAAGAGATTCTCCTTAGGCAGAAGGAATCAAGTTCTTTTACTATAATGACAAAACACTGTAGTTCCTTTTCTTTTCCTTTGTATACAGCATAATGCTTTCCTGATGCCCACAAGCATGCAGCGCCTACTAATCAAAAGGTTCGTGTTTCAAACTAACCCCGTGGCTCTGCAGGAGAACTGTCATCGGTGATCATCTTTGGTGAGGTTCACAGTGAAGAGAAGCCTGTGAGTCAGTTCTAATCTTTCTCAAGGGGTTTCTAAGAGTAGATCATTGACTCCACGGCATATCAAAATGGTTATGATTGTATTTGTTTTCTTTGAATTTGTGCATAGCATTATGTGGGTGGTAATGAAATTAAACTAATACTGCACATGATGGGGTAGTTAATATTTTCCTCAGAAGAACAAAAAAACAGGAAGAAATAAGGGCAAAAACCAACTATGCCTGAAAGTGAGAGGACAGAACGATACGCCACTGCTAAAGAGAAGTTTATAATCACATCTGTCTGAAACCACGGACGAGGCAACAGAAGACATCTTCTGTCACGAGAGGAAGAAACATGCCCCATACAGTCACTGTGGTGATCCAGCAGGGCTCCTACCTGGTAGCCAGAGTCATTGCACGTCATGTAGCATTTACCGCAGTTGATACACATCTCTTCGTCGATCATGGCCACGACTTGCTCTATGTTGCTAAGCTCACCATATGCTCCAAGGTATTTCAGGGCTTTTCCAATTACATCCTAAAAGAGAGACACTGAATTACTAATACATTTCCCTATCACATGTCATTCTCAGTCCAACTTTCTCGATTTTTACAGGAGGCTGCCTTATGCTAATTTAGGAGGCTTTGACAATTGTAGTTTTCATAGACATGATTTTCATGACAATTAGGACTAAGTATTTCTCTCTTCTGAAAAAAAATGAACAGACAGTCTTAGCTTAGCAATACAAAATTTAATTAATGGCAATCAATAGATGTTCTACTGGAAAATGTAAAAACAGTGTTTCTGTGGATCCATAGGAAGTGCCGCCCTTTTCTGTGTGGCTTGCTCTCAATTCCAGACCTTAAAAGATTCTAAAGTAATGAAAAGTGACAAAGGTTAATACACCTAGTTTGGACAACTTTATATTGCTAGGAATGAATGAGGAAAAGGGAATGCTATGTACATATTTATGAACGTATCTTTGTATTTTTGATTTCACGTAGAAATGTGTTCTGACAGCACACCCACCTGCCATGTCTTGAAGAGTGTATTTCATTATGAAAATATTCTAATTTATGTTAATTAATTAGGTTGATCTAAGAGTTAAATTATGTGCTCTTTTGCTTTTTAAGAAGTAGGGTCTTGTTCATTCACCACTGAGAATTTTTCATGCAGTTTACGCATTGTTCTGTTCTTCATATTGATTGGAAATATGTGAAGCGCAGATGATGTTTCATCAGCAATACGGAACACTTTGTTTCATAAAACAAAACGGAAGAATGTAGCAATGTTTGTCAAATTAGTACGCTTTTGTCAAGATGTTCTGCTTTTGTTTTTTAACTTTTATGACGAAAATCTTTTGTTTGAATTCAAGGTCCATGTGCAAGGAGGTCTGACTCCCACCTAATTCCATTTTCCATATTCTCTTTGGTATTTTATTGTCTGCTCTTCATTGTATGAACTTGACTATCCTTCTTTACTATTTTTTCCTATTGTATTCTTAAATAACAATGCACTCATCGCCACAAGGTCTCTAACTGAAAATACGTTGACATTCTTGTATACAATGCATTTGTGCGTTTCTCAGTGGGTAATATGATAGGAAACTTTGTATTGTCCTCAGATTTTTATTTTCAATGCATTGAAGGTATAATTTCAACTGTATTTCAGTTGTTTGAGTCAGGGTGTTGATGACCAAATCGACAATTGCTCCTGAAATTCCCTCACAGACTCAAAGTCTACATTTATCAGAAGCATAATGGCAATTATTACAAGACATTGGCACCTGGATTCAACCCAGACGGAATCTATCATCATTTCCTATGTCCTTAGTTTTGTGAACAGTATTAGAATTTTCCAGCCGGTGAGACTTGAAATTCCAATCATGTTTCACTCCAACTTTTCTCTGTTCCAATATTTCTTCTGTATCAAGCCTTCTTTTCTTCCAGGTCTACCACATTTTTAAAAAACAATTATCCATGCATATCCCATAATTTTTCTGTACTTTCAAGGGACTACTTAATGATCTCATATTTATATCATTCTTCTTTTCCCAGACTATCATATAAAATTAGGATGGGATCATTTCAACCTAGGCACAAAGACACGGGCTAAATTTCCTTTCAACCTAGCTCAAAATCTATTGAAGGAAAATATGGTATCATTTATAGATTTCCAACCAGTTTGGCATTTGAAGTTTCCAACAAACATGTTTTTCATAGATTTTATTGCTAACCTCCAGTCACGTTGTGATTCTGTAACACTGGACACAGGTTCCACACTAAACACATCTTCAGGGAGATAATTTTATGTTGTGCCCTCCGGAATGTCTGTGCTTAATAAACTCTCTCTATACTTTCAAAGACATTGCAAATGTTCCTCCTCCTTGAGGAATTCCTCAGTCTTTCTGATCCTGACTAAAGTGAAGAGGTGAACATCCTTCTGTGTCCCTCCTTTCTCTCTCATCCCCTCCCCTTCCCCTTCTTCTCAAACTCTCTATGTCCCCGACTTGTACCTTTCTCCCCCCACCCCATGGCCTGTAGCCTTTTCTTTGTATCTTGTGAAAATAATGACAGTAGATAACTCTTGAGTTATCAGGTCACTGTTATTATTTTTAAACACTATGTCATTTAAACAATATCTGGTTTAAAGACGATGGTATAAACAAGACTCAAAGAATGAAATAAGCAAATGATAAGGCAGGAGTTCGGACCAATGCAGCCTGACTTCAAATACCATGATCAAAATTCTACTGTGCTCATTTTCCACTGTTATTTAGTGAATTCATTATATTGATATATTCTATGTTTTCTTTCTATATTTCAGTCCCTTAAAAATTTTTATTTACCTTTAGGTTTTGTAAAGGTGTGCTTTGCTCTTGTAGATAAGTGAACTATCACAGATGCCCAAATATTTGTCAAAATAAATGTCTCTTTTACAGAGCACAGATAACATTGGATACATAGTTGAACAGGGTAATCACTGTCCGTTGAGCATTAGTAGCCTATTAATAGGAGATCCAGGAATGGATTTGAATACATTATTTCAATTGTGAGATAGTGATGATCAGAATATCTGAAAGTGTTTTATTTTCTAAAAATATTTTAACACATTAAACAAATGAGATTGCTATCTGTCTATAAAAGCATATTTACGTGTTATGGAAATAGATTTCTTATTACAGTAAAAAAACTTACTCAAAAACAGTTGGTATACTGAATCAAATCATGGATTAACTGAAATCATCAGTTAATATTAAAAAATATATTAAACACAAGCCCCCCCTATAATCATCAAGCTTATAAAACTCATTTTAAAGAAGAAATGTGGTCAAGGTCACCCTCCACCAGGACAAGCTGTTCCTTCTGATTGCTGCTCCCTTGTCCAGCCACTGGCCACCATCCCTCCACACCCTCCCCCTTGCCACCCATCTCCACCTCCTAATGAGAATGGGGATCCAAAGAAAAAAGAACTTCTGGGAGGGGGTTCCAAGAGTAGAATCACCCTCTGGAGTTCCCATTGTGTGAACAGTGGGGCCAACTTGGGGGATTTGTGCAGCACCCCAGGGTTCTTTTGTCAGTTCTCTCATAGAGACCTCAGCTGTGCCTGCCTCTGGCAAGTGTTCCCTTTTCAAAGTGCCTGCCTGCATCTTACCTCCCTTGTCAGTGGGGCAGTGCCTGCCAGCCTCTTCCCCTTCTCTCCTGGGTTTGCAAACTTGCCAGTATGGAGAAGTAGCCCAAGACTGTCTGCCCCTCAATGGCATCCCATGGATGCCCCTACAGACATCTGGAGGCCCTAACACTGGAGCCCATGGTGGCCTGCAGTTGGACTAATAATCCCTTACCAGGTCCTTCTCAATCCCCAAATAGCAAGGGCATGATTAGGCTCTCCCAATAGATAGGCTCTCCAGCAATCTAGAGAGGGATCTGGCCATAATGAGAAAGAAATGCAGCTCGAACCCACAACATAGTGGTCTCCAAACATTTGTCATTTTTCTATAGTCTTTTGAGAAAGGAAGCACAATACTCCTTTCCCCACCAGAGGAAATGGCACAGTACATTTTAAGGTTTCTCAACGGCTTTCCCCACCTCTGGCTAGGTAGCATGTGGCCATGGGGACCCACTGTCCTTAGCCAGATCCCCTTCTGATCAGAAGCCCCTCCTTCCTGGGGCATCCAATACAATAGCCTGTTTCCACCCTGAACCACATGTAAGGAGTGGATAGTTTGCAGCTGTGCAGAAATCCACGATACAGGGGTTTTCTGTTATAACACAATAACGGGAGAACTGCACTCTTCCTACATAATATATAGGGTTGATAAGTGACTACCCCTCACCTGCCGCAATCACCATAAATTCTAGAACCTGGTATCTCCACCTGAGTAACCCACTCTCCTATAACTTACTAAGTAAAATTGCATCTTCTAAAATCCTCTTCTCCAACTCATTAAAAATTACAATAAGACTTCCTATGATCAATACCATTACCGAAAACCTACTCTTGAGCCACTTTATCCTATTTCTCCTACTCACTCAACTAACATTCCCTCCTCATCTACACACAATACATTTTCCAGACCTATTGGATCCTCCCATAACCACAAGAAGCAGCCCCTCCCACCGCACACACCCCAGAAGCCTACACAGCTCTTCAGCTCAACCACAATGCAGCAACAACAAAGGCCCTAACAGCAGCTTCCAAAATCAATAAAAAGAAATAAAGATCAGTTACAGGAGACTACCGGAACACAATGGATTACATAGAAGAAGTGCTTGAATTGCCAGATAGAGAATACAAGGGACTGATGCTTTGGGCCTTACAAGAAACTAGGGGATCACTTCTGAAAACAGATGAAAAAATAGAGATTGTAGAATCCTCACACCCAAGTGAAATCCAGGAGTTAAGGAATGACATAGCAGAAATAAAGAATAAGGTATACGATTTGACCAATAAAAGGGAAGAAATAGAAAGTTGAATCAGCAAACTCAAAGATAACCAAGCAGAATTCAGCAAATGAGAGAAATAATCAAACAAAAAAGCAAAAGAATATGAAGAATGTTTGAAGTGAAGCAATATTCAAAATATTAATTCAAATTAAACAAATAAATCTCCAGTTAAAATAATAATGAAATTATTGGAAGAAAATGTCCCCAATATTACAAAGGAGGAGACAATAAACATTCAGCAAACCGGGAGAACACCAATTAGCTTAAACTCCTCAAAAAATACATCGAGGCACATAGCATTCAAATGATCTAACTTCAAGAAGAGAATTATGAGAGCAGTTAGAGAGAAAAAAGAAGTCACACATAAAGGTACACAGAAAATAATAAGCTCAGGTCTCTCCAGAGACCATGGAGGAAAGAAGGAAGAAATTGGAACAGTGTATTCTGAAAATTGAAAGACAACACTGCAGTTCAAGAATCCCTTATCAAGGCAAGTTATCCATCAAATTTGAAGGAGAAATAAAAGTTTTCTCAAATAAGGAAACATTTAGATGATTTGTAAAAACAAAATCAGCATTACAAAAGTACTTC